CTGCGCAGTATCTTGATATATACATTATATAATGTACAAACATTTCTGAAGAGTGAAACAAAACCATTTCACTCTTGTATAGTTCTGTTGCTGCTTGTCAAAAGGACATATAGTTTGAAAGTTTATCCTTGCTCCTACGTCTCATTGTTAAGGAACCAGCCAAAATGCCACTGTGGATGTGTTGRCAAGTTGTTCACAACTGTGCATTGGTGTTTGATACTTCGGCAAGATTATAGTAAAAAGTCGCCTTCATGCACATTAAATCTCTGTTACATAAACAAATATATATATTACTGTTAACAGACAAACATTGCAGATCTGTGTGGTTAAATAAAGAACAGAAAGCATCCTCCCATAGATCTTATCTGCGTCAGACTATATGGGACTTTCTGGAAAAGGTCAGGTTGTTTCTCAATTTTATAAAGCATTCAAAGCTGTAAGTCTAAAACAGATTTTAAATGTTAGTTTTATAACTTTAGACGTTCTGAGTGGTGCAACTGGTTCCCTGCTAAGTGACATGGGGCTGAAGAGTTGTATAACACTGGGTGGGACGCCTATTTGCAAGTCAAGTATGCAGTTTTCAGTATGGCAGTAATAGTCACCTGAGCTATTAATTCATGCGCTCAGTTTATCAATTTTATGTCACTGCTAAGCATTCAATCATGCACTTTCTTTAGGACAAGTGGAGTTCAATTAGAATATGATTTATAAGAAATTATAAGCCCATTCATCAAAATTTTGCTGATACAAGCAAGAAAAAAAAAAAAAACACAAACCAAATAACCCTGCAGGGCTTTGGCTTTTACAGCCAAAGCCCTGCAAAGCCAAAGCAACAACACCTCTTGATGAAGTTTTCTGTTTCAAAAGCTTCAAGCCTGGATAAGTACACGCTTGCACAGGAATTAAAAAAATATGTCATGCTCAAATTCTGGGCTGCAAGTAAAAATACATGCTGCAAACATTTTTCATATATTCTGTTCCTCAATAACTTCGGGGAAAGTAAACTTCAAAGAGGCCCGTTTAAGAATCTGTAGCTGCAGCAAGGTTTGAAAGGGAACTGAATCTATCATTTAAGTTCACATCAGAACCTGTTTTTATATAATCAATGAATGCACTCCACTAAAGGTGATACCTTTGGACAACAACAACAACAGTGGAATGATAAACTTAAAAAACAGGTTAAAGTGTCAGTATCTGTGTCATTTATTTTGACTGAGGGGAGATATTTTAATTTCTATTTTTTTAACAACCATACTAAACAGTATGGACACTGTATGATTTGCATTGCTGGGATAAAAATATCTTCATTAAACTGCTTAAATATATCAGATAAKGTTGAGGTGTTTCACTGATTAAGGGCGAACAAAAGACAGTCTTTCTAAAGAAAAAGCAAACACTAAAGTGCATGACGTGACTGGAAAAGTGAACAGCATGTGCAACATAGCAGGTTTCAAAGGTGTTTTTGTTCTCTGCTTCACCCTTTAGGGCATTAGCGTACAAAAATCACTCCACCCAGAAAATTAKGTTATTTACCTCCTCCCATGTATGATTTTAATATGATGCCAGGACAACTCACTTTCCCTCATATTCAGTGGACTCAGTTAATGATGCTGATGCAAAAATTAAGCTCACCTCAGGGCAAGAAAGTTAAAATAAACATGTAATKTATAATCAACAAATTGCAGCCTGTCTAATCCGGTTTAACCCTAGTGATGACTAAGTTAAGTCTGATAATCAAATGTCAAGCAAATGTTGAAACACTAACAGCCTCAACCTGTTTTTAAGGTGAGGTCAGAAAAGACACAAACTTGAAAACTAAAAAGCTGCCAAAAAATACGAAAGAATGGAACAAGGCCATTCACGTTAAACTGCTTTTACTATTATCATTATTTAACTTTCAAAATGATCTTATTTGCTAATTTATTATCATGATTTTTAAAAAGCAAATCTGTAAAGATTACTCGTGTGTTTGAAAAGTGCTACATAAAAAATTGTTCTGACACATACAACGTATCATTTGGACTCAAGAATCTGTTTGAATTGAAGATTTGTTGAAATTCTTTCTTTACACCCATGAAAAGATTGAACACTTCATCCACTGTAATTAAAGCTCTCAGAAAATGACTCATGTAATGCTAAATGTAGCTGACGTGAAAACTGAGCAGGTTATTGGGTTTTCTATCCTTATTTTCCCTTCATAATGTTCACTCAATCGTATCCACTGAGTTCCATTTCTGTTTGCAAAACAAAACCTCCACTCAAAGCTGATTCAAGATTTGAAGTTGACCCTTGATAGTTAACAAACTATCAAGCAGAAAACACAAAAAAAAAGACAAATGTTCTGCTGATCTTGACTTTATTTTATTTTTTGTTTTATTAATAAGAAAGAAACATATAGATGCAAATAGAGTGAATACATGAAAGTCTATAAAAGAGCAAACTCACTGCAGGTCACAAGATGAGATTCTCAAACATTCACCCTCTCTGAACAGCTGTGCTATAAATATTCTCCAGCTGTCCTTAAAATCCCTTTTTGTGAACAAGAACTACATGGATCAAGCCTGGTTTAGATGAGACAGAGTCACAGCTGACAAACTCTCACACTGAGTTTGGTGTTTCATGACTGGCTTGCAAATCCCAGGATTGTGTCAACAATCATGTGCTTTCCAGAAAGCAGGTACATGTAAATATAGCATCAGGATGTGATATTTTGGAAAAACACAGCAATGAGTTTGTTATGCTGTAAATAAACAAACCAGGATGTGATTAAGTCAAGTATATTTAGTCAGGAAACTACAGATGCTAATCTATGACCTAATTACCCAATGATGACCTTATTTAGCTTGTATTGAAAACCCCCCCTTTAAAATATTTATTAGAAATCAGAGTTATGCTCACATCAGTGATGAAAAGAATAAGCAGTAATGATGAGGAAAATAGAATCAGCCTCTAATATAAACTTTGAAGCTGCAACAGAAACAAGTTAAAACAAGCTGCAATAGGAAACAAAACCAAACATTGTGTTCTTTATAAGCCAAATGAAATAATTGTCTTTTTTATGTTTACATAGTTTTAACAAAATAACTTTTTAAGATGATTCAAAAAGGGATCATGTAATTGCTCTGGCCAGGGTATGGAAAAACCTGTCTGACTGGTTTAGTACACCTGGCCCCATTCGTACTGGCTCGGTGTGTGCACTCGTCACTGTCGGTCCTGCAGGCGCCACAGTGACAGCTGAGAGCCACTGGAAATGTAAAGACAGGGTTGGTGTAAGCAGGGCAGCCAGGCAGAATGGTTGTGCGGTACTCCACCCTGTCGTAGGTGCAACCCCTCTGGATAAGAAAGCGTGGGCGAAGAATATCCCTCATGTTGCTATCCTGAATGATACACAAACAAACAACAAACAACTGATGAATGATCTTGTGACGCATTTTAATCTCTTCAGCTAAGAAACAGATGAAACAGGAAACACTGCAGCTGTGCTTTTATGGTGTCTGTTCCAATATTCTCTCTTCAAGTTTCAACATGTAGGAATAAATACTGTTATTTAGTAAACGTTTTTTTCTGTGTGTATTTGAAAACATTCAACATAAATATACACTTTAAAATATAAATCACAAATGCATACCATACAAATCAAACTATGGAATTAAACATTTTATTATAAGAATTTGTAGATCAGGCGTAAATATTTTAGAAATGTGAATTTTTTTCATCAAACTCCTACAAAAATTATATGTGATTGGTACAATTTTTGTCAGTGTGAAAAGTCAGAGAAAAAAGTACCAAAAGTTGCTTCACAATTTCAGTGGAAACAAAACAAAACAAAAAATAAAATAAAATAAAATAAGAAAGAAATAAAACTTTGTGGATCCCGAAATTTATCTTCAAACTTGTGTCACAAAGTTGACACAATGCAGCCATGTTTTAATTTCTTCTTCTTGTTTTTATTTTTTCTTTTGGGCAATATACTGTCTTTCATAAATTACAGACAGTAAATAAAAGGCAGATTTGAAATGATTAGGAATGAAGTACATACCCTTGAGAAGCAGAATCCCGTGCAGATGGTGGTGTTGATCGCCACACAGTAGTCACATTCTGGCTTTTCCACATACAGCATGAAGTCCGTGGGGAGACACATTGGGACAGCTGGACAAAACAGCAGGAAAAGGAGCCAACAGCTGAAAACTGCCTTGTCCATTTTTATCGACATGTTTTTTTCTCCAATTACTTTTGGTCCTGCAAGATAATAAAATACAAAAAGACAAATGAGAACAGAAAAAAAAAAGTTGAAGAGATGTTTGCTTTCTTAAACAGCATTTCTTTTTCAAGGTGAAAATCACCTGCTTGAGAGACACAACTCCTCAGACCTGATGAGGTTCTGAGTCTGATCATCCTTGCTGAACAGTATTTATGTCAAATTATATAATCCAACCTAATCCAAGATAACCGTTCTCTTCTTTTATTGATGAAAAAGGGATCCACTGAACTTTTGGCCAATTATCTAGATGACATAAATAATAATATTCATAATGGAAGCTTGTGAAAGAATCATGCAATTTTGTCCAAAGTAGCCTGTGTCCACTAGATGTCAGGAAACACTGTGAAGCTTTACTTTTGCTTGCAAGAATCTACAGTTTACTAAGGAATAACCTCACCTTTCCAAAACCAACCTGTCTGTGTCCTTTTTGATAAAAAATTAACTGAAAGTTCTTAGGAAGCAACAGTRTCTGTGAAAGTGTCAGAACGTGCTCAAAGAATATTTCTGTGCTGGGTTAAAAATTCACACTAATGTCAAAAGCAGCGTAAGCAAGAAAAAAAATAAAAGGTCTCAGCACATATTTGTACTAAACCTTCTGCTAAGGAACACTCACTGCAGGTTTATCCAAACTGTTTTCACACTGGGTAAAAATAAATTGGCTGTGGTCGGCGTCAGTTTTTATGTCTGAGTGGTGAAATATTCAGGAGCTATATAAAACTGTCAAAAATATCTATGTTGAAAACCTCCACCCTAAACATCACAGGTTTCTTATCTGTAAATATGTTCAATGATTATCTAGAATAGTTAAATCTTGTGAACACATTAAGTGATTAATGGTGTAAAATGAGACTGTTTTTGGTTTAGTTTGAGGTTTTGTTTTTCATAAGAATTCATACTGATAAAATTAAACRTGCTCTTCTCTATGTCTACATGTACAAACTGATTTGTCTCTCTTTTGAAAGCGTCTTAAGAAAAGAGTCATGATTTAGTAAGTCAGAATAATGCTGAAGAGTCTGTCATTGCGTGTGCTAGCTGTYTGTATCTTTTTTTTCATATTTACTTTAAAAAATACTGATGGTATGTATAACTTTGGGTAATGTTTTGCTGAACTAGTTACTTATTCCTTAATTCAAAAAGCCTGACATACCCATAAATCATAAAATCTTTAGGCTCAGTTTATAACAAAGATTTAAGTAAAAAAATGTAAACTTTCTCAATCTCTCATTTAGAATTAGTTCTTTACTTAAACCAACATTTTGTCTTAAAGAGTGTTTGACTTTGAAGTGAAATTCTTATCAAACATAAAATATAGTCAAGATAAAAAAAGGTACTGAARGAGTAATCACATGTGACCAAATGATGTAGCAGCAGGAGTAAACTCCAAACCCAAGATTTATTAATATTCCCTCCTTCTGGACTTCCTTATTTAACCAAATGGTACTGAGTAACCTGGATACACAAACAAAAAWTTCTTTAATGGATAACTGCATCACTCCATTTCCTGAGGAAAACAGATTTATTGAAAACAAAGAGTCTTTTACTGCCATAAGATCGCAACCGGCAACTTATCAAAGGATCATTTTCTTTTATAATCACTTAAATTATGACAAGCTTCAGTGCCTTGTGTCCTTGATGAATCATTAACCAAAGTGAACTAATCTTTATTGTCTGCTAAATGGATCAGAACTGACTAGACTTCAGCTGAACGAGGGATGGTTAAAAGATCTCACTGAACCACTTTTTTTTATGCGACAAAGCTGGGATCAATGGAGGACTGAAACCTGGACATTTTTGTATTTACTTGTTGTTTGAGAATGGTTTGAGAAGAGACCAATAGGTGCACCACRTCTGAATATATCTGAAAATTGATGGAGTATTTTTGTACTATATAAAGTAGGTATTTTTCTTTAGATGATGGTGAATGTTTAATTGGACTGGAAGATTGCACGGTWTAAGTATTTACATTCTCATTATAACCAAAAGTCTGAGAACAGTATTCGTAAAAGCGCTTTTACTTTTTATGTCTAACTGACCATGGCTGGAACAGGTGGCCCAGTGGCCACTTTCTCTGTTTGGGACTATGTGGTGTTCGCTGGAACAATCCTGTTTGCAGCTGGAATTGGCCTTTTCCAAGCCATCCGAGGTCGCAAGGATACCAGCAGTGCAGAGTTTCTGCTAGGTGGACGGCAAATGACAGCTGTACCGGTGGCCATGTCACTAACAGCCAGCTTCATGTCGGGTATCACAGTCATTGGAACACCTGCTGAGGCTTACCGCTTTGGTACTGCCTTCTGGCTGTTTGGTTTCTCTTATGCCATCATGTCTGCCATCACCGCTGAAGTCTTTGTTCCTCTTTTCTACCGACTGGGGATCACCAGTGCCTATGAGGTAGGAACAAGCCAAAAACTGTTAATTATTATACAGGTAAGAAGACTTGTGGACAGGCACATTAGAAAATGTCTTCAGCTATAAAAAAAAAAAAGATCACGGGACTTGATATGCTTTACTGGTAATCTTCAGTACAAATTGTAATTAAAGTAGATGTTATTTATCACTGTGGACATATTTGCGTATGGCCAACAAAGTGATGTCTCACTGATTGGTCCCTTTAACAATAAGAAGTGTTGAACCACTTTCTTATTTCTTCTGTTAAAAAAACATTATTCAGTGGATCTCCAAGTTATCAAAATCTTAGAGCAGCTTGTAATGTTTTTTTTCTTCCAAATTTACAACATATATATCTATATATATTTTATTGGAAGCTTTATTTATTTTAATCTAATACTTGTACATAAGGTTTATTTAAYATTTGTAGTTGTTTACTAAGCTACTTAACGTGGCTTTTGAAACACAACTCACACCATAGCACAGTACATTTAAACTAAGTCTTTAGTTGCTTTTTATGAGCAAACAAAGATGCTTTAAATGCTATAAACCAGCTATTAGCTACATCCCACAATCAACGTGACACTAACACTAAAACAGCTGATTTTAAATTGTGTTTTTAATTTTTTGTTGTTGTTTATGCTCGTAGCAGCTGGCCACAAAGATGTGCATTACATTCCACTATTTTTTTTGTTGAAGCTACATAAAAATTAAGAAAAACAGCGGCACAGAAAAAAAAAAAGAGTAGTGATGATCCTTTGAAAGCAAAATGCAAAAATAACAAAAAAAAAAAAAAGGACAAAAAAATTTTAGTCACAATGTTTATGGCTAAAATATGGGCATATGTTTTTGTTTAATTATGTCTGATTGTAAAGTGTTCTTCTGTATTCATAGTACCTGGAGATGAGATTCAACCGACTCATACGACTAATTGGAACATCAATGTACATYGTGCAGACGGTAACTCAAGCATGTACAAATTAAAAAAGTCAAATGAGACAAAAATTAAATAGTCAAATAATTATTGTATGARGTAACTTGATAAACAGCATCTGTTCTTTTCCCTGTTTGACTTCATGTAAAGCTGATTGTAGATATCAGCTCTGTTACATTTTTAATATAAGACACAAGCTTGCTGTGTTTTCATCTACCTGGTAATTAACTAATGGTGAAATATTTTTCAGGCTTTGTACACTGGCTTAGTTATCTATGCTCCAGCTCTTGCACTAAACCAAAGTAAGTAAAAACTCACAGTAAATCAAGAGAAGACATTTTTGTCTTGACTAAATTCTAAACTAAATTATAGAAAGTTCAGTCTAATATTCTCAAAGTGACACCTTTGAAATCCATTTAGTATATATATATATTTAATATAAAACCTTTTTTTTCTTTTAAGTCACTGGACTGGATCTGTGGGGAGTCCTGGTGGCTACAGGATCAGTGTGCATTGTTTACTGTACTTTGGTTGGTATTGTCT